TAGTCAAATATTATAATATATTTCAATATTCTTTCTGACTATATTGATCTCACTTGATCTGAAGAAGCAACAAAAATAAAATTAAAAATTAATCTTTATAAAAATGTTACTGTTTATTTAGGAGCCAATTTACATAAAATATAAGCTTTTACAATATCAATCTTTTAAAATTTGGAGTCTTTAAAATTATTTAAATGCTTTCATTATTCATGAGGCCAAGGTTTACGGAACAAATCATTGGTTTTACATTCAACAATTCATACACATTTTGTTTCAACTCGCCCATTGCAATCTCTTCAGTGTACTAGTTGTTACTCTGCTTTCTGTCTGTGCTTTCTACTTCTGTCCCTCCTTTCCTAAGTCTCTGAACTTTATCTTTGTTAAATGCTGCCCTTCTACCCTTAAATGGTTGATAACTCTGCCATAGAGAAGAATTCAGTCCCTGAGGGTGACTAAGGGCTATAGTCTTGGTGGTGGTGGTGAGGGTGAGACCAATCTCTTCCTAACCAGCAACCAGCAAGCCTGGTGAATTTTACTTTAAAAATAATTTCTTTTGATTCAACAAATATTCTAAACCTCTGTTGTGTGAAAGTCATCACAATTGTGTGGGCACAGAGGAAGCCCATGTCTATTGTTTCTTGAGCTGGCAGATGTAGACACATTTACAAATGCTTTTGTTTGAAGGCAGCAATGAAATCCTTCCTAAGAACTACAAGTACTGGAAAGTTAAATGAGATTATGTCTGGTTAGAAATTAGATAAAAAGTGAATGGAGGTGGTGATCTTGCTATAGTTTTTGGAGAATGCCAGATCTTCCATCTCCAAGTGAACCCATGAACCAGAATATTATCTATCACTGCTTTCAAAATGAAATGGAAAAATATACTTTATAGTTCACCCTCTTCTGAGACTTATTCTCAAAAGCTGAATAAAGGTTTGTGACAAATGTTCGAACAAAGAGGCTACAGGCTATATAAATAAGGTGAAGGATAGTTTTCTCTACATGTGGAAAAGGGAGTTCATGAAACTATGTTGCCTAAAACTCATCCCTTCCCTTGATATTAATCCTTATTTTACTCCCTTTCTCTTGATATTCTACCTACCATTGTGGCTCCGTAAGACTCTTCTCTGATAAAATTTTTAAAGAAATATTGAACATTAATATCAATATTCAGGGCACCCATATATAGGAAACATAATAATACATATTGAGTTTTATGACGTCTTTCTTCTCAGGTCAGATTTTTTTTCCAGGTCTCTTTGTCAGATATCAGGAGGCATGGGATTCAGTAACACAGAGTGAGGACCTCACAAAGGGTAAACTATTTTATTCTTTAAAATGGGCTTTTGAGAGTCAAAGCCTGTAGCTACCTATTGACACACTCTTACACATCTGGGTGTCCGGGAGTCAGAAGTAACTTAATGGTAGGTAACAAGGAAGGTCAATTATTCGTGTACAAGAAGACAAATGCTTAAGATTACCATCTTAGTGGGTGGCATGTTCCAGAGTCTGACGTGGCAGTGTGGTACAGTGAAAAATATACTATCTTCTAATATGGTTTATACAGCTGATTCATTAACTTATTTTAAACATGCCTCGCATCTGAACTTTATAAATGTGAAGTATATTTGTCTGTCTTGTACACAATTAACGATAGAAGGTCCTGCACAATTAATGGAGTGGATGAATTTTGTAATCACAATAGTTGTAGTTAGACACACTATATGGTTTATAAAAATATGTAAATAGTATGTATATATATTTATTAATGTGTTTTCAAAGCAGAGAATATTCCATTCAAAAACATTTATTGAGTACACATTACACAAAGCATTTGGTATGAATTGATAGATAATAAAATTCTGAAAACAGTGTTCTAAAAGTCTTAGTCCTTGAAGGAAGCTAAAATAGCCCCATCCAAATAATTGCATCGTAAGTAGCAATATGTTATGTTATAAAGAAAGCACGTAGAAAACAGGAGAGAGAATTTCCTTCATCATAAGGCATTTATTAAAGGCTACCTAGTAGAGGGTTTGAAGCCCTAGAAGCTTCATGGGTTATGTGTTGACCAGCTGCTCTGTGGGAAGAACATGAGGTGTTCTACTTCCTTAAAGAGTTTTTCTCAAAGCTTTGGGTTGAGATTCTCATGGTCCCATGTCAAAACCACTAGCAGCTCCTTGGGAGACAGACTGGGTTTTCTACTCTTGTACACAGCTATAGTCTCAGGAACACCCAGGGCATCGCTATGAGTTAGTATTGACGAGATGGTGGTGAGTTTTAAAAAGAGTTTCAGTATCAGAAGTCCAGGAACAGAAACGCAAACAGGAGCAGTTCTGCCCATTCTATAGGGTCACATTGAGTCTCAATCCACTCAATGGCCATGGGAACAGAAGTTTCTCTGTGGTTTGTTATGAAGCGACCAAAAATATAAAGGATCCCAAGAAGAAAGGAGACAGCAAGGTGAGTTTTGAGATGTTATCCTTACTCATTTTTAATATTTGACTTCTATACTATTTCATTATAAATTTCCCATCTGATATATTTACTCCTATGTTCCTATTGAAATTTTAATATGTTTTTTAGTATACACAGAATTCACTGAACAGTTAATTCTATTTAGATTTTGTGATATTCTATATCATGGTATTTTAAAACAGATTTAAAAATCCCTTTGTTCAAAGAACAAAACTAATTGCACTAGCGCTTAGAGAAAATGTTTCTGAGTGATATTAACAAATACATGATTGAAATAATCATGTTTGCTCCTAAGAAGAATGAGTAGAAATGGACTCTTAAGACCTTTGTTTCCTGTACTGTGGCTTAATGCCATTTGGGAATTAGGGTTTTTTTTTTGTTTTGGTAATGAACTGTCTTTGGGTAGAGAATTTTATAAATCAGTGTCTTTTGAGTTGTGAAAGAGATTGCACAAGGCAGCAAGTAAATAGAGATGTAGGTTAGGGGAAGAGAGGAAGACACTTGCCTTTCCATATGTAAATTACCTAGGGGATTAGAAATAGATGTTGAGGAGGAGGGGCTTGTCTGCAGAAACAGTGCTGTTCCCTGGAGCCTGTACCTATCTTTCTTTGGCTGCTTCTCTGCTTTGCTCCGGAAACATGGGCACTTAGACACTTAGATACTACAAACTCTACTGGGGTTTACAGGTATGCGTTGCTTTGCACCAGCTGCCTGGTAGCCTGATGATAACCTCAAAATTACTGCCACGGATCTCAAACCTGTAAGCTAAAACCTTAAATGATAAGACAAGAGCCCCATTAAGCCATCACCTCCCGCATTTTAATTTGGAAATGTAACTTCAAGAACTCTGAGTTTTCTAACTGGCACTTTTCAACCACATGGAATTTCTCACACTACTTGCTATACAGTCAATTCTGACTCACCGTGTCCTTATAAGACAGGGTAGAACTCCCTGTAGATTCCAAGATTGTAACTCTTTTCAAAAGCAGAAAGTTCCGTCTTCCTTATGCGGAGTGGCTGATGGTTTTAAACTGCTGACCTTGCAGTCAGCAGCCCTATTTGAGATGCCTTATTCCAAACCCACTGCCATCTAGTCCGTTTCAATTCCCAGTGGCCCTACAAAACAGAGGAGGACTGCTCCATAGAGGTTCCAAGGCTGTGAACCTTTAAGGAAGCAGACGGCCTCACCTTTCCTTGGTGGAGCAGCTAGTGAGTTTCAATAGCAGATATTTTGGTTCCCAGCTGAGCATTGTAACCATTGTACTACCAAAGGTCCTAAGTAATTTAAGAACAATTATCAAAGAACATTTGTATTTATTAGTGTGTGTTATACACTAAATACCATTAAAATGTTTTAAGGTAAAAAGTTGATGACTTAGAGGTCAATAAAAATTTATAGGGATCCCTGGTGGCAAAGTGGACTAAGTGTTGGGTTCCTAAGTGGTTCAAACTCACCAACGGATCCGTGGGATATGCTTCTGAACATTTACAACCTTGGAAACCCTGAGAACAGTTGTGCTCTGTCTTGTAGAATCACCGTGAGGTACAATTGACTGGATGGCAGTGAGTGTGAGTCAAAACCAACTCCACAGCAAAGGGACAGAGCTTCTTACTGTCACTTTCAAGCTGGAAAAATTGGGAGAGCGTGTTGAGTAAATAACTGGGTCATATCATATTTGTTGGTCTTTCAGTGGTGCAAAAGGTGTGTGCTCAACAACTAATCTAAAGGTTGACACACCATTTACGCAGCACCACCAGGGAAGAAAGGCCTGATGATACATTTCTATGAAACTTGTCACGAAGAGAGACCTGTGAGCTGTTTCAGTTACACATGGGGTTTCCATGAGTTGGAATGGCAACTGTTTGGGATTTTTGTTGTTGTTGTTGTTGTTGTTTTTTATTATAGATTTGTAAACATTATACATGAATATAAATATGCATCACTAATATATATGCGATGTCAAATATTTATAAAAAGGAGGCATTTTTTTATGAAGAAGGGAATGCCATAGTATATGACTTGATGTTTATAACATTAAACTCAAAAGAACAAACATATAAACTCTAAGTGATAAACTGTGCAAAATGTAGGGTCCAAGGTCCATTAAATATGCATTTTTAAGGGAAAAAATAAATTGGAACCATATATCCTGATTTTGTTTTAATTAAATAACTTTATTTAAGAAGAACAGAAAAAATCTTACAGTTAGCAAGGTGTTGCCTTTGAAGAGTGGTCTCAAAAAGTATCTTTCATAAGCTATTTGAAACTTTCAATGACCCTATAAAGTGGTCGTAAAAAAATTGAGGAACAAGGAGTTGACATGACTTATTAATAAACCACAGCTAGCCTATCCCTGGTAATGAATATTCATTTTGCTCAAAATATTTCATAATATTGCATAGTATCACAAATTAGCTTGGTTAAAATATTCCACAACATTTCATAGCACCATAAACCGATTCCTGTCATTTTTTTTTTCAGATAAAATAATTCACACTTATAACTTCTTCTCATTCATGAAATCATGCTGTTGAATAATAATGTGACTGAATTCATTCTGCTTGGGTTGACACAGGATCCTGCTAAAAAGAAAATCATCTTTGTCCTCTTCTTGCTTTTCTACTTGGGCACATTGGTGGGTAACTTGCTGATAATTATTACTATCAAGACCAGCCAAACACTTGGGAGTCCCATGTACTTCTTCCTTTTCTACTTATCCTTGTCTGATACCTGCTTCTCTACTTCCATAGCCCCTAGGATGATTGTGGATGCCCTTTTGAAAAATAACACCATCTCTTTCAATGAGTGCATTTTCCAGGTATTTTCATTCCATTTCTTTGGCTGTCTGGAGATCTTCATCCTCATCCTCATGGCTGCTGATCGCTATGTGGCCATCTGTAAGCCCCTGCACTACACGACCATCATGAGCAGACGGGTTTGCAGTATATTGGTAACTGTCGCCTGGGTCGGGTCCTGTGTGCATTCCTCAGTGCAGATTATTTTGGCTTTGAGTTTACCTTTCTGTGGTCCCAATGTGATTGATCACTATTTCTGTGACTTGCAGCCCTTATTGAAACTTGCCTGTGCAGACACCTATGTGATCAATCTACTCTTGGTTTCCAATAGTGGGGCCATTTGCACAGTGAGTTTTGTCATGCTGATGTTCTCTTATGTTATCATCTTGCATTCTCTGAGAAATCACAGTGCTGAAGGGAGGAGAAAAGCCCTTTCCACGTGTATCTCCCA